CAAATTTGTTAAAATTAAAAGTTTATATTCACGTTTTATACCACTTGGATTTCATCCACGTCATTACATAAATAATAAATAATTGTTGTTGTTGTTTTATCACATTCACCCACGTCAACTACTCTGTATCTCCCAAATTTATTCATGTACTTCAGAGCAACTCCAATGGTTGGGAAAAGGGACTAGCTTGCAAATATTAAAAATATTAAGCTAGTAGCTACACCATTGTTGCACATCTTGTTCATTTGCTTTGGCAAGCAAATTAGCTTTGTAGAGCTAATTAGCTTGGTAAATATTTATTAGATAAAAAATATTATTAATTTAAAAATAAATTAATTTACAACTAGCTTAACCATTGGAGCAACAAATAGCTTGAATTGTTGTAGCTAAAGAAGATGATGTGGCATGCCAAACTATTAAATAAATTAGCCAACCATTGTAGTTGCTCTAATCTAGTGAGAGTTATAAATTCGAGGAAGTCATAGAGTAGTTAAATTAGTCCACATGCTGGATATTAAACCGATCTATTTATTCTAATCCTAACTGGATGCAATTATTATTATTACCTTCATTAGTTTCCTTTTCGTTGGAAGCGAGTATTTGTGATTAAAATTGATTGAGACACCTAAACTCTTTCTATATCCTACCGAATGCGTATACCCTATAACAACTTGCACCAAAGAGCAATAACCAATTGCTCAAGTATTGAATATATTGAGCAATAGTAGAACAAAGTCCCAATATATCAAATTAAAACCTCAAAAACCAGGTGTTTATGGGTCGATGTCAAGGCATACCATATGTGTTGTTTGTTTAATTTTGACAGGTTTTACCACTACCATTCGTGGATTTCGCCTAACAATCAGGCCTCCATCAAGTGCAAAAGCCACATTTTACTAGTGTTTGTTTTGTTTCAGTTTAGTTTGTATGAGTTAGAGTTTAGTGTATATTTGTGCGGTGTTTTACTTCCTTTTACTTAGCTTAGGTTGTAGTCTTGTTTTTTTAATTAATATATCTCTTTGTAAAAAAAAAAAAAAAAAAAAAAACTCGAAAACTCAATAATGAAACCAACGTTACCTACCAAACCTTCCTCGCCACACAAGTTCACAAAAACACCCCTTTGTAAACACAACCTATTTTACTCTGATTGTTCAAATCTTTTTTTCTCTTATGCGAGATGGTGGTGACGGAGATATTTCTTGCCACTGATTGCTTCACGAGATTCGGCTTTCTGTCTTGTAGTTCTCTATTTGCAAACTTCGCAATGTTTCTCATCAGTGGGTTGCCCCTGCTCGCTGGTTGGCTGCTCAGGCTCATCGTTGACAATTGCTTAGTTGGTCCTTCTAGTTTCCGTTTGTATTTTCTTTTTAGGACTTCTTGTAAAAAAAATAAACAACCTATTTATCAAGCTTATAAACTTAAATTTTTACTCAAAAAAATTGTCGTATTATTGACATTTAGGGTACATAAGAATGAGGAAACAACGTATCATAATGGGCTAACATTAGAGATTGCACATCCTTAATTACAATTTATGAAGGGTGACTTAACAAATGAAGCTAGGTAAGTCATTTTTCATGTCAATGAATAATTATATTATTTTTGTTAGTCGTATGGAGTGCTAACACAAAAGTCTCAGTTAGTGTATTCCACGTAATATTTCTGCATTTCATTTTGCATCATCCAATCAAGATTAATAATAACTTAATAAAGGGCAATATATTGCAATAGATTTGTGGTAATAAGCTCTCTTTGAAGTCATAGAAGTTAGAATACATAGTATATATCCACTGAAAATTGATAGCAGTTGTAGGACAATTTTGAGCTGACTGACAAATTTGTATCCCACATTGGTCAGATAGAAAAGAAAGCGAGAACAAGTTGGTATAAATAAAGATGGATAGACATCGTTCCAATTACTTACCTGGACGGGGTCTATGGGCGATCAAGAAGGCCCATGGCCTAGGTTAGTGGCCTCCATTGCACATACCGGAGGGGTGCCTGCCTAACGTCTCCCCAAGTGGGAGAGCGTACGTCATAATTTGTGGTAGCGGGGGCCTGCGTTCGCGCGGCCCCTGTCCAGTCCTAGTAAAGAAATATTTAAGCCGTCAGAAGATTCTTCTATCTTATGTTCAAATTCTGGAAAGTTCTGGTGTTGGGATTTTGAGTTTGGTTTGTAGGGATACGGTAAGGTTAAGTGCTATTGGCTGGGCGGTGGTGGTTATGATGTTTTGTGGCGGTGGGTGGTTCAGTGCTGCTGTGGGTTATTTTGGTTGCATTTGTTTTGGGTTGGAGACGAGTTTAAAACGATCTCATATAACTAATTTTTTTTCCTCTTATGTATAAATTACAAAAGACGATTAAAAGAGAGTGTGTATGGTAAAATTTTAGGTGTTATGATTAAAAAAAGAAAATATGCTTAACTCGAAAACACACTACGCTAAGCTGTAAAATTGCGCTTTTACTATGACTAAATCCAAATGGAGAATTTTAAAAACACTATTTTTTTTTTAAAAAAAAAACTAAAAAAAACTACTTCCTTCTCATTTCCTTTTTTTTTTTTTAAAAAAAAAATACATATTAAATCATTGATATTTCTAATTACATGTTTGTAAAAAAAAGTATAGGAGTTTGATGTTCTAAATTTGCTCACCAGTTTTGTTTTTTTGTTTTTTTTTTTTTTTTTTTTTGTGTATATTAGAAAAATTTAGAAGATTCCCTTGAAATGCCAATCATGTCTAAGTTTCAAATGAGAAGAAATTTCAGAAAAAGGATGGAATACTATATATCAAAGTATAAAATGCGTGAGTATATACCAATTACAAGTTGCTCCCATCTAGAGAGATCTTATATTTAGCAAATTATTGTTCACTTTCAGATTACCTTCCCTAGGCTGTAAAATTGAGCTTTTACTATGAGTAAATCCAAATGATAATCACACATAATGAGTCATAATTCTCACATTGTCTCTAATTTGTATTCAACTTGATAAAGGATTATACTATTACTTTGTATCTCACACTGTCAAATTTGTGTTCAAATTGATAAAAAGGATTATTCCCTGACAAAAGGATTCAATCTGTTTCATCATAATCAAAATATAAAAACTTGCACAGTATTAAAAATCAAAACGGCACATAATGGTATACCGAGTATTTTGGAGTTCTCCCACATCAATAGAGCATGGAACTGGTTTGATTCAGAAGAGTATAAATGAAAGGCATATGGCGACCTTTAAACATACTTACCTGGACGGGGTCAATGGGCGATCAAGAAGGCCCATGGCCTAGGGAGGTGACTTCCATTGCACTTGGGAAGGGCGCCTGCCTAACATCTCCCCAAGAGGGAGAGTGTACGTCATAATTTGTGATAGGGGGGCTTGCGTTCGCGCAGCCCCTACCTAATTCTTAAGCTAAAATTTAACATGTGCTGAAATAACTTATTTTTGTTGAAATTAAAAATAACCGCATATTTTACAATACTGTAGGTTTTACAACCCCTACCTATACTACTCCGATAATCAGGGCCCTTGCCTCGTAACCTATACTCTTAAAATTCCTACTTTATGTAACAATTAAAGGTCATCAACCATTCAATCTACTAGTCTTTTACATAATAATTTTTTTTTTTAAACAATAATAATTGAAAAAAAAACCCTTCTACTGTAATATTTTGAAGCAAAATCTTATTTTCTATGAAATTAAGAGGGGTTTTGAAATTTCATAAGAATAATATGAAGAGTAAATAAATAATTAAAATTTATGAAAATTAGGTCATTTATTAATTTATATAAAAAATTTTAAATTGATGGGAATAGGGAAGGAATTAATGTTCATTAAAGGGAATTTTGGGAGCAAGACTGAATTAATGCCTATTTATATTTACTTAACATATAAAGATGCTCTATTGCTTATGAAAGCTCTACAATTGTACGCCTATATAGTGAAGAAGAAACTAAAAATTGGGCCTCTAGAATTTTGGGCCCTGTGCAGGTGCTCACCCTGCACACGGTAAGGGCCGGCCCGACCGACAAGTTTTTTGAGCATGTGCCCCACAATTTCATTATGAAGAATCTTAATTTCCAATTCAAGTGTGTTCTTCAATTACCTTGCTGTACAAATTGGTGTAAAAAAATTGGTGCGTTTTTCAAAGGATTTGCTTTTCAATTTGCAAAACTTAGAGTAAAACTTGGTAGAATTTGTGGAAAAAATGAAGAATTTTTAGTTTGGGAGTAGTTTGTGAAACAAGAGAGGAAATAAATCGAGAAACAACTTTTATAAAAATAAATAAACAGTCGTTATGTGGGGCCCATACTCGGAAAACTAGTCGGAGTATAGGCCGGGTGGTAAAACCTACATGTTTAAAATATGGGTGGTTATTTTTAATTTTTTTAAAAAAGGGTGTTTATTTCAATACATGGTATATTTTGGGGTGGATTTTTACAAAAAAATCCTATATTTTATGTAGTATGTGGAAATTTGTTTAAATTCTATAACTTGAAATAATGTTTATTTGTTGAATCACAATTTATTCCATTTTTTTTTAAAAAAAAAACCCTCATATTATAATATTAGTCAAATATGGAATGAAATTAGTACTTCTCCCCGTCCCTTAATACAATGCCTCTTTCTCTTATTATGTGAGGAATAAATGCTCAAAAGAGACCTTGTATTATGTGAGGGAGTACCTAACTCGCACCGAAACTAAAACAAAAGATTATTACTACTATTTTTTTTCCCTCACTTTATTTGCCATGTGATTCATGAAATTCTAACATAAAGTGGGTTCATAGCACAAAAAAAGGAATAGAGGGAGTACTTTGTAAAAAGGTACCAGTAAAAAAAAATATGGGGTAAAGGATTCAATATAATTAGCATATCAAGTTTTTTGTGATATGAATTGATTATCCAATAGAAATATATTACGGTAGATTTGATCACATGGAGTTCCTAGCAAACTAAGCAAAGTAAAGGATCTTTTAATCCTGGGAAATTATAAGGGAGTCAACACAATGTACAATAACTGCAGTTTCATAATAGGATGTAATACAGTATTTTCGTACATTGCAAACCATGGTTGCTAGTGCAGTATGACCAAAGATCAGGAACATAACTGTCATTATTCCAATACACAAAGGCCATGCTACGCTAGTCTACGAATACAGAAGAAGAAAAAGAAAAAAATTAAGACAAATGGGATAACCCTCAAGGAGCACTGGCTGTGAAGTATCCGAGACCATGAAAGGTAAACTCAAAGCTTAGGACTCAATAGGCATGCTCTCTGCCTCCTTCCTCACTGTTTCAAACAAGACGGAGGATAAATATCGTTCGCCAAAGCTGGGAAAGATTGCCTGATAAAAAAAGAGGATGTAATTAGTCAAAAGAAGCCGCCATCCCTTCATGTTCACTGTGTAATATTCCATTTTATTAGTCTTTAATTAGACTATGAAAGTAAAATGAAACCTAGTATAGGAGAAAAAGAGCAGTGGGCTTACAACTACGAGTTTTCCAGCATTTTCAGGCCTCTTAGCTACTTTAATGGCGGCAGCAGCAGCAGCACCAGATGAAATTCCAACCTGAAAGATGATTTTTCCCAAACACCGTATTACTATCATAGCAAAGATGATGTACAAAGAAAATTGGAAGACAGATGCAGGTGGAGAAAGCAAGTAGAATACACTAAAATTTCAAGAACTTACCAGCAAACCTTCCTTGAGGGCAAGCAATTTGGCCATTTCAATAGATTCTTCACTGGATATCTGTATATTTAGTCCACCCGCCACAAAAGACGAAGAAAAGAAAAAGATAAATGAAAGGCAGTGAGTTCTCCATTTATTTATATTTATCAAAGCACATACGTGAAGTATGTAATACTAAGAAGTTACAGCTAGAGAGAGTATCATTATAAGTAAATGGTGACTATTAACGGAGAAAAACTTGTATTCTAATGGACAACACCTACCTAATTAATTAACAAAAGAAAAAAGAAAAAAATAAAAGAAAAGAACAATCCACTAAGCTGAACAAGACATAAGTGGAGCTACAGAGAAATATACATACTAGCATCTAACATAATTAGAAGAAGAAATCCATCATGTAGAGTAGAAAGCTCACCTGGACCACTTCATCGATAAGATTCACATCCAGAACACCAGGTATGAATCCAGCTCCAAGTCCTTGAATCTTGTGAGGACCTGTACATGTACACAAACAGTCAAACATGCAATTTTACCAAGTTAATTCTCTAATAGAAGTATTGCCTAATAAACTTAGACTACGATTCTTTTATTTTTCAAAACTCCAAGAATAATGTGTTGACAAAGAACCAGTTGTTATAATCAGAGAAAGTTGAGTACATAATATCCCTACGAGTTACGATTGGGGATAGAAACCAATAAAGGTTTTCTCTACAACAATTACAAGTAAGCTATGTAGTTCATGGAAGTGAGTGGTGATTTTTTTGGCACTAAAGAGTTTCAATGTGGGTACTAAAGGCCAAAACAGAATTTGACTGGTCAGCAATATATTTGGATAGCTATTGTGGAAAGGGAGGGGAGGGAAGATGCGAGCTTGTAGTTTCCTTCCAAATATTTCCATAATTGAAAGGATTTAATATTGTAACGGCAAGGAAAATAGTTATCTCCAATTCCATTCCTTTTATACACCCCAGGTCATATCTAAACAAGAGAAGTTGGATCCCTCCCTTGCCAAGTATGTAATGGACAGGAGCAACACTAGGAGACAAAATCAATTAAGGGAGCACTAGGGAGTAGGGAGTGTGGCAACAAATTATGATACTATTGGGCAGTAGAGGACAAACATTATCAATAACAGGTTATTTTTGTAGTTTTTCTTGATTATAAAAGGGCAGTAGCATAGCAATAGAAGGCATGAGATTTGTATTGAGGAAATGAGAGAGAACGGCAACCTGAATTTACTAAGAGAGAGTGATAACCTAAAGTTATCAAGAGGGTAATAGCCTCAAGCTAATTAAACTATCATTTGTAACATTTTAGCCATCATCAATCAAACATCAAGCTTTCATCTTTATTCATTGCCTTGTTAAATCAGAAATACTAAGTTAGAAAATCAGTCCATAACAAAATACTCCCTCCGTTTTTAAATACTTGCTCCATTTCTCCATGCGCGGAGTTTTAGGAGAAATTGGAGAAAGTAATAAAATATTAGAGGTAGTGGGGTTGGTGGAAGAATAAAAAATTGTAAAAGCCCAAAAGTAGTGAAGAGAATTGAAGGAGAGAGAATATGAAATTAATATTGTTGGGTCCACTTGGTGAGATAAATTAATTAAATATTGTAAAAACTTTCCAAATAAGGAAATGGAGCAAGTATTTAAAAACGGCCGGAAAAGGAAAGTGAAGCAAGTATTTAAAAACGGAGGGAGTATTACAAGGTCCAGGCTAGCATATCATTAGATAGGATGAACACAAGTAGATGAACTGGGAAGTTACTTCAATGACAAGTCTAGTACCTTTTAGCATGGCTTTCCTTTGAAAAAAGTAAAAACTGGCAGCACAATTATCCATGTTTACTGACAACTAAATGATTATAAATTTTAAAATAATTTTTTTTAGGCCTCTCCCCAGCAATAATAAGGGATCAACAAGAGTTTCAATGGTTATAGCTTTGTTACTTACCAGGTTTTCCTCCAGACAATACAGCACTTTCCACTGGTTCCAAACCAATCAGCTGAAGAACGAAGACAAAAAACATATGATAAGGGTACGAAAGAGGAAGTAGAAAACGGACATAGATATTCACAAACATCAGCATAGAACTTCATATAGCACACTATCAGAAATTTGTCACACATCTATGTCAGAAACTCAGAACTGACCTTAACATCTGGATTTTGTTCCTTTAGGTATTTTCCTGCACCTGTAATTGTGCCTCCAGTCCCTATTCCAGAGACGAATATGTCAATTTTTCCACCTGTGCCTTTCCAAATTTCAGGTCCAGTTGTTTCATAATGAATCTACACAAAGGATATAAGTGTCAGAGCAATGTTCCTATAAGTTATAAATCCAATAAAGAAATACACAAAAGCGAACCAACAAGCATTACCTTTGGATTGGCAGGGTTTTCAAACTGCTGTAGAATATATGAATTAGGAGTCTTGTCACGGATCTCTTCAGCCTTTTGTACAGCCCCTTTCATACCTTTTGCTGGATCAGTAAGGACAAGCTCAGCACCAAAGGCCCTGAGAATAGTCCTCCTCTCAAGACTCATTGATGCTGGCATCGTAATAATGAGCTTGTAACCTTTAGCTGCTGCAATGAAGGCTAATCCAATGCCAGTATTTCCACTGGTGGGCTCAATTAGGACACTCTAAACCATAGAGAAAAAAGAACACATCCATCAGCAATTTAGCACATCAAAAGAATTTTACAACACTGAACAGAGCTTAGACCTTGCCATGTTAAGCTTATCCACCTAAATTATCCCTAGCAATCTCCAAAAGGGGTTAATTAATCAACATATTCATCATGTAGAATTTCATTCAGATAGCCATTATTGCCCCTACCTGTCACTACCTTAACATAAAAATTCTATATTCAGAAATGTTATTGTATACTAACCTCTCCGGGTGTAATTAGCCCGCTTTTCTCAGCATCAGTGACCATACTGAACCCAATCCTGCAAGAGCACAATAATTTGAAGAATTGTCAAACACATATAGCAAATGATACCCATGCCAAGATCTCACTCGCCCCAGAAAAATAAAATAACTACACACTCAAAAAGACAAAAATAACCTGTCTTTGACACTAGAGCAAGGTTCCATTCCTTCCAACTTCACAGCAACACGTGCAACACAGCCATCGACCACAGTGTTGAGATACACCAATGGCGTTTTTCCAATCAACTACACAAGTCCCAAATTTAACACATTAAACGATAAGGTCTAATAAATTATGATATATTACCATGTGGGTACAAAAGGGTCAGGCTGCTTACTTCAGTAACATCTTTAGCAATGAAGGCCTTTTCCTCAACCATTTTGGATTAAATACTGCAATCAACACAATCAATGAGCTTCAACCATACATCTTGGAAAGTTGGTAGTCAAACAGGTATTGCACTTAACCATAAACAAAATGAAAAAAACCAATAAAGGAATTGCTGACTGAAACTTATATATCTAAGAACATCACTTTCAATCAAATTATTAGTAGTAAACTTTTTGACACTTAAGAATGAAATTCATATTATGGATTATATAGTTCTAGTATAGCATGGATATCTCTCGGCATTCCCGGGCTATGCCTAAGCCTCATTACAAAATAGAATTTTGGGTCGGCTGCCTATATCATGAATCAATCCCTCATGATACTCCAGAAAACACCGCCCCCAAAGCTTCATTCCTAAATTGGATTGGGTCAGCTGATTTTATCTCTCGTGGTATTCCCAGAAAATGCCATAACCTCATTCCAAAATGAATTGGGTCAGCTTCCAGACTCAAGAATCTATCCTCTCCTATTCGCTTCTATCTAGTTCTAGTGCTACATGTGTAGATGTGCTTGCAAACCCCCTTCTCAAACAAAACCATTGATAATTTCTTACCAATGTCAATTATGTGTTGAATACTCCATTAAAATTAGCTACACAATTTTTCCAGAACAAATTTAATCATAGCAATTATACCCATGCAAAATCAAAAACCCTCAAAACACCAAACAAAAAATAAAAAACAGAAGTCCCTAAATTACCCACCAATCAATTAAGCAAAAACACTCAAATATTAAATTTCTTCGGAATTCAAGCAATCAAGAGCAAACAGAAATAGGCAAAATCATAAACTAAAAAACCCAGAAAAACACAGAATTGTAAACAATTAAAACCCAATAAAAGGGGTGTAACAAAATTAATAGAGAATTATTTAACATACCCAGTTGAAGAAATGAAAAATAGCAGTAGAAAGCAATGAATTTTAAGTCAAAGGGAGAAGATGTTCACAAACCTTAAAATTGAGATAGAAATCTGGGGAAGAATTGATAGTGATTGCAGAGGAAAGAGGTGATTAAATAATCCAAGAAAATCGTTTGTTTGATTTTATGATTAATTGTTTTACATGCACGATTTATAGACTTTGCTAAATAAAAATATAGAATTATATGTTGAATATCATTTCACATGTGGATATGTGTTGGCATAATATGCCCATTTTCCACAATGTTGTCCTAATTCATGATTGATCCATCTGTCATTCAAATTCAAGGTTTCTCTATTTTCTATTTTTATTTTCATCAAAATACAATCCTTCCATTTATCAAGAAAGCTCAAAATAATAATAATAATAATAATAAAATATAATCCTTCCATTTTTAAAAATAGTTCTTCCCTTAATTGGTTGGCATGTATGTCAAAATGTCAATAATCAAGTTTCGGGTCAAATCAGGATCAGGTTTTGCCGGGTCAATCTAACCTCAAATCAGATTTTGGTCGGGTCAATTTAAATTTAAGTTGTTATAATTCATTCACCATTTTCGAGTGTTGGTCGGGCTCGATTGAAGTCAAATTCAGATCGAGTTCAATTTTAGGTTCAGATTGTGTTGAGTCGAGATAGGGCAGGTTAATAGATGGTACATTCGGGTTCAAGTTAGGGTTGGGTCAGATAATCTTAAAGTTGGATCATTCTTGGTTTTGGTTCAAGTTCAATTCGAATAAATATCGGTGTGGTCAAGTTGAACCTATATATTTATACCTTCCATTATTTGATCAAGCATCATCAATATTTTATTAAACCTATATATGAAGTAATAGAGAACAAAAGGTATATAAGTTGAACCTAATATGTTGTTAAGGATTAAGGGTTTACAAAATTGTACGAGTATATAAGCTAAGCAATTGAACAAAAGGCATATAAAATTTTATTTAACCTTCCATGACTCGGGTCAATAACAGGTTGTGTTGGATTTTAACCATTTTCAGGCTCTAATTGGGTCTGGTACTAGTCCGGGTTCGGATTATTGTCGGGTCAGATTAAATCAGTTGACAGTTATTATCAAGTCGGGTGCAGGTTCCGGTTAAGGTCATAAAGTATTGGGATAAATCGGTTGTCTATTAACATTAGGTCGGGTTCAGATCGGGTTACAGTGCAAGGCACTAGTTTCACCCCATTATTGTTCAGGTACAGGTCGGGTTCATATCATTGCCGGTTTAGGTCAGGTTCTCGGGTTGTGTCATTTTTTTTTACTACTCTAGTTCTGGCCCAATAGGACCCTTTTCTCCTTACGAAAAAAATCTTATTTGATGAAAACTTTCGTCTGATGGAGTTTGAACCAAGAAACAACTCAAGCAATGTAATGATTTTAAATTTAAATTTTTTTGGGAAATTCTCTTTGGTAAACCTATAGTTTTTAAAATTCTCAGTGGTGAATTACAAAAAAACTTATTATCATTGGTAAACTCGAATTTTTGTTTACCAAAGATAATAGCTTTTTTAATATAAACTCACTAACCATGGTTAATTCTATTTTTTAATAATTAAATTATTTTTTTAAAAAAAACACAACCTCTCCTCTGCCAAGACCACCACCAACGCCACCGCCGACCTCTTTCTACTCTTCTGGCCGAGAACTATTCTCCCACCGGCCACCGCAACCACAACCCTTCTCTCTTTCTCCTCCTTCCACCGCAACCTCCCTCTCCTCCGCGGCTCCGACCAGATTGAGCCCAAACACTAGTGGAAAAACCCCCAAGAAATCCCCAGCAATGCCTTACTTCTGTTTGAACCCAAAACACCAGCGAATACAACAACCATACCTCGAGAAATTCGACCCCAAAACCCAGAAATTCAACCACCAATCGAAAACCCTAGGAAATCCGAGCCAAAACCCCCTATATTCGAGCAAATTCGAGCCATAACCCCCTATTTTCGAACAAAAAATCGACCCAAAACCCTCACAAAATATGAAGTACAAAAACCGCAGAAGATCGAGCAAAATTACCCTTAAATTCGAGCATATAACAACTAAAAATTCAAAAGATCTAAGCAAGGAGGTTGGATTTTCATTCAAATCAGTAGCAATAAGCAATTGTTTCGATTATTTGAAAGTTAGGGTTTGTAGTCGAATTTAGGAGCTTCACTTCGTTATTCTGGGGTTTTCAGGGTAAGAGAGGTGGGTTTTGAGGAAGCTAAGGGAGGTGGTGATTCAAGGGACGGGGATAAGCGCGGCAGGGACGGTGGAGAAGGTTGGCGCGCCGGCAAAGGAGGGAGTTGTGCGCCAGCGTGGGTAGGGGCGGGGGAGTGGGTGCCGGTACCGGCGCCGGCGTGGTGGGATACTGGCTGGAAGGGGTGATTTTTTTTAAAAAAGAAATTATTTTTAAAAGCATTTAAATAAATAAATAAATAAATAAAACTAACTATAGTTAAATGTTTAGTTAAAATTAGTCACTAATGTTATAATTAGCTTAATTTAAAAAATTCGAGTTTACCAATGATAATAAGTTTTTTTGTAATTCATCACTTAGAATTTTAAAAAATACAAGTTTACCAAAGAGAATTTCCCAATTTTTTTTAGTTGTTTTTATTTAAATATGTAGATGAGAGTAACAAGGTATGATAAGTTTATAACCCCTTGAACTAACATGAACATGAATGCTCATGTTGTAACTTTTAAAAATGTATTTTTTTTTTAATTTTTTTTTTAAATGTTGTTTGAATTACCATATATTGTGATTTCTCAAAAAGAGAAAACAAAAAGTCTACAGTTTCATTTAAACCCTAAATTGAAAAACAAAGCATAAACTTTTTTTTCTCTTTATTTGATTTGTGCTTAATAGATGACCTCACATAAGAAAAAAAAAATGCAAGTCAGATAAAAGCCCTAACCTAATTTTTAATTTGAATGAAAAAAGAAAATAAAGCAACAAAATTCAACGAGTAAGAAGGGAACTGTGGAAGAGGAGAAAAAAAAAAAGAGGGAGCCCAAGTTGATCTTCATGATATACGGAGTACAAAAATCGTTTATCTAGTGACATTTATGTAAATAAATCAACAAAATATCCAGTTATTATGACTTTTTGTAAATAAATCAACATATATGGGACCTGCATTTAACAAAAGTTAATGACTTTTTTATGGAAATGTTTTGTTCATCATGAAAATCAACTTGCTTGTATTTTCTCTTTAAAATGTAAGTTGTGAAGAAAGATAAGATGAAAGATTTTACCAAATCGATAGCTCTCAAATAAAGCCAACCTAAGTTAAACTATAGTATGTAATTAAAGGTCACTATACAAAATACTAACATAACTACTGTAGACATGTAGTAAACTATATACCAGTAACAAAGACTTTCCTTACCAAAAAAAAAAGTGTTTTTCTACAGAGTGTCCGACTGTCCGTAAGGTATTCACTTTTTCAAGCTGTGTTCACCCATTTTCAAAATTCTACACTGTAACCCCAAGGTACTTTTAATGTGTATGATGTTACCCTGTCCTAATCCCTCCATTAACTTAAGTTAACTTTCTGTTAACTTCAAAATAAATAAATTTTTCAAAAAAAAAAATTCCCAAAACCCCAAAACACCTCTCTCTCCTCCCTCACAAGTACCTACCACTCCACCTCCAACCGCACCACTGCGCCTCACCCCTTTCTCCTCGACCCACCACTGCTGTTTCGGGGTTTTCTGATGTCCTGCGGGAGAGTTACAATCCCGAGACTGGAACCGGACGCCTGTACCTACAAAACAAACGGATGCTCCGGATGATTGGAGATCCGCCACCGACGGTCAAGTTAGTACTTGATTAAGGAGTAATTAATGCGGAAATTAAAGTGATTGTGTCTCTCTAGGTGAGAGTGTTTAATGTGTGTAATCTGCGTAATCTCCCTTAATGAGGATTAAGGGAGGTATTTATAACCTCGAGAAACGTGTCAATCTAGGTTTAGGTTAACCTTGGGCTGATTGGGCTTCCCTCAGAAGTTGGGCCTAGGTGACCGGCTTCTCCATTAGGCATGGAGTATGCCACGTGTCATGACATAATAAGTCCAGGGTGGACGAATAAGCGTGTGCCACGTGGCAAGCCCTGAGAGGTCCAACTGGGGGACACTTGGCAGGACCTGATTGGCCCACGTGGCGCATTCCGATTGGTGGGAGCAAAATCCCCTAATCATTTGCCCCTCACAGGTGGCACGTGACTGGTCACGTGTTACCTGTGACAGGTGTCGCCCTGTAACAGGCGACGGCCTGCTACAGGTGTCACTCGGCGAGAGGCCGAGAGATTCTCCCGCCAAAATTTTGAATTCTGGAAGTGACCCTTCGCCTTCTCACTTTGCCTATATAAAGGAGTGTTGACTTCGGTCATTTTCACAGTTGAAAACTTTGTGAGAGAACATTCGGACCCCTGAACTTGCTCTGACATTTTGGACCCTTTCTGCCTACCGCCTGCTCTGACAAGCCAACTGCAAAGGATTTTTAGAACTTCATCAATCGTCACTCGTTCAGGTAACCGTCGGTTCTCTTACTCTTAATTTTCTCTTTACTTTAATCTTTTTTGAAATGGCACCACGGAAGCACACGACTCGACCTAGGTTAGTGATCAGCCGGTCACCGGGGACGACTGAATCTAGGACTAGGAGTGCCGCCTGCCCTTTTCTGGACCCATCTTTGCCCTTTATACAAAGTCCGACTGTATCTGTGTCTATGCAGAGCATGATGGCCAGAACAAAAAAGACTGCCAGGATCTCAAACTCAGACGACTCCTCCCACAGGGTGCCGATTAGTGAAACATCTGACCAGGCGCCAGATGTGGAAGTGAAACAAAGCGGCTTGAAAGCCGGCAGTTCTGAGGGAGGAGTCAAAGTGACCCCTTCCCATTTTACAGTTGACAATTCTACATTCTCTCCTGCTCCTTTTAAAGGAGAGGAGGCGGGCCCCTCCGGGAGAGGGGAGGAGTCGTCCTCTTCGGACTCGTCAGAGGACGATTCCGAGTCTAGCTCTTCTGGCCATGCTTCTCTGGACACTGAAGAGAAAAACAGTCGCCTACAAGAGGCGAGGCTTTCTCACGCAGTTGAGAAGGGGGACGATTGGGCGGAGCCATCCGCCTCTCACCGAGAGCAAAATACCCCCTACTACTGCACGGTACCTCGGGGCCGGATCACGACCATGCAAGAGAAAGTGGAGAGCTTTATCGCAAACCACACAATGGG